CCGTTTTCTTTCAAGGCGAGAAAACGCGGCAGCAACGAAGTTTGGAAGTTCATGTCAGTATAACTCAAACTCATCCCCTGATAAAGGGAGGACCCCTCCCCAAACTGTTGGGAAATAAAAATATTCATCCTTGTGGACAACGCTCCCGTTGTGCCATATCCTATATATATATATATATATATATATATATATATATATATATATACGAAAAATGCCATAGCGCGCAATCCCTAATTTAGAGATTACGAATAAATAGAGCACTGTCAGAAAGAAATAGAAAAAAAAGTGTCGCCCTATCGCCTAAAGAAAACAGCCTAATCACGTAATCATGATAAGTAGAAAGAGTGGGTGATTCCATGAGAGATCGACATTGCGCCAAAAGTTGATATTTTAGATTTCATTCAGTATTTTATTTCGTGCACCTCTCACCAGGTAGCCCGAAAGTCAACTTCGTTTTATGATTAACGGCATAACTTACGAGAAAAAAAAATATGAAACTTCACCAACACGGAGGCACCAATTTCGTCCCCTGTCATTTTTGAAAATAGCAAATGCTTTAAAAAGACAAATATTTTTGTTTCAAGGAAGATATTTTTTACCTGAAATGCATGTCTAACGAAAAATGAATTCATACGGTTTGAAGTTTGTAGACCTTAATAAAATAACTTTTAAAAATGTCTAATTTTGCGACAGTGTAAAAGAAGTTACGTATTCCCATTTTTTTTCTCCGGAAGTAATGCTAGCAGCGTTTTCAAACTTGACACGTTTTAAGGATATAGTGTGTTCATTATGTACATAAATTATTGCTGCCGTAGGAAAATAGTAAATTTTTATATTTTCTCAAATTTCTCATATTGGCAAAAGTGTACTCCACTGAAATTTGAATAATAAAGAACACCATCTTCAATTTTTCTTAAAATCTCGTAAATAGACAACCGAAAGGCCATCATACAGTAATATAGAAAAACATGTTGCAAGATTTTGTTTTTAGCCACACTATTCGTGGTATAAATCAGAGATTTTCAAAAATGCGCTGATAAGTTGAGAAATCCAGAAATCGGAACGTAAAAGCGGAAATAAGCTTCAAACGCTAGTAAACGTGGCCGCATTTGGTGAAGTAAGGCTATTTTAGCAGATAGGAGTCACTATTTTGAACATGGTGTTCTACAGTATCTGAATTCACTCTTATACGTAGAGCACTGAGACTTCTAATATGTGGTGCCTCTCCACTACTGACACACAGATGGAGCTGCTGTGGCGCCCACGTGTTTGCAACACGTTGGGTAATAAAATTGAATGTTGAATGAGTTCATAAACGATTCATAACAAATTTTTATCATTTGAGGCACGTAGACTGCCGCATTAGACTGAAGAACACGCTTTAGGGCAAGCTCTCATCCGTCGTCTGCTCAACAAATGAATTGCTGTGCACCGCACCTCGGAGGCTATGCTTTAGATCATATGGTTCAAAGTAGGGACAAAGATTACGCCTCCCGTAATTTTATCGACAAAAACATTGTGAAATTCATATGAACGTACCATACTACACTTTTGCATTCGCACTGTGGATACTTGTGCGCAAGTATCCGCAGTGCGAATGCAAAACTGCTTTTGGGAGAAGTTGTGAAGGAGCGCTTGCCCGCAAGCATGGGTGTCCATTTTTTTTTTGTTCGCACGAAAAGTTGGCGACCGCCAATCCAGCGGCCTACGCACGCACATGCACAGAAAATCTCTTCCACGTCCGTCCACAATTTCGCCACGTACAGCGATGTAGATTCCTGAGAGCTGTGTGATTATCTTGTTTAAATTGGAGCAGTAGTTGAACACTAATTAGGAGCAAGAGGAATGGAAAATGACAAAATCAATCAGCAGTGGACCCAAGACTTGGGCAAGCGAAAAAGCAACAATGGCGCGGATGGATACAATGCAGGCTTGACAATCTAATTGATATGTGACGTTTAACGTCCCAAAACCACCACATGATTATGAGAGACGCCTTAGTGGAGGACTCCGAAAATTTCGACCACCTGGGATTCTTTAACATGCACCCAAATCGGAGCATACGAGCCTACAACATTTCCGCCTCCATCGGAAATGGACAGCATCTCAGGACTCTGCTGGCGAGGAGAGAAGAGCACAGAATAAGACATCAGAGGTTTTGGTGGCCAATCACAGAGCAATTAACTCCTAGGAGCACGTACCTGTTTTTGTGGCTCCGGCTGGAAGTGCAGCTGCGATATTTTCAAAAGTGCAAAGGCGACTGCAAATTTGCACAGTGGACACCGAGCTTCACTTAGTACCTTGTCGGGTGCCAGACTTCTTTGACTTATCCTGTCTTGTTGGTTTATTGGTGCAGAACCTGTCCGACAACGCCATTGTTCGCTCCTGGCCACGAGCTCCTGCAGTCTATTGCAGGTTCATGCCCTTCGAGGAATGTGTTGAAAACTAGCTTTGGGGCCCGCAGCTGCGGAAAGTATCCACCTGTTGGTTGCTGTCATAACAGGAATCCACAACCTCACAAAATCTTTTTTGATGTATGAGACAGACTGATCTCGGCTCTCATACCGTCATATTAGCTGCCATATATTCTGAGCTGGTTAAAACTTTCCCGGGTCTAGTTCAAATATATTATGAACCCCTGATGTGAAAAAATTGAGTTTAGCGTAGCTCCAGGTTGATTTGATTAATTTGTGGGGTTTACCGTCCCAAAAAACTACATGATTATGAGAGACGCCGTAGTGGAGGGCTCCGGAAATTTCGACTACCTGGGGTTCTTTAACGTGCGCCCAAATCTGAGCACACGCGCCTACTACATTTCCGCCTCTATCGGAAATGCAGCCGCCGCAGCCGGGATTTGATCCCGCGACCTGCGGGTCAGCAGCCGAGTACCTTAGCCACTAGACCACCACGGCGGGGCAGCGTAGCTCCCGGTATGTGCCATCGCAGACTCTGGCAATGCACTGATGCAGATTAATAAAGACAAAAAATATTGTTTCGGGGAAACAAGGACGAAAGTACTTTGGAATCTAGTCAACAAAAGCAGGATGGGGTATATTCCATGAAAGATTGAGTCAGTCAGTTCTTCCCTACCATCTTAGTCACTGTGTAAGCTGAGAAGATCCTTAGCTCGTAGTTTAGTTGGTTTGTTCCAAGTGCCACTGACTTTGCGCGTATCCTAATTTATGTTCTTCAAACAGACGCTCCCTCCAAACGGAGTTTAGTTTGCGCCTTCGTGTTCCACCAGCTTAAGTTTTTAAATGCGAAGGATTTTAGTGAACTTCGGTGAATTTGAGTCTATCTATCTATCTATCTATCTATCTATCTATCTATCTATCTATCTATCTATCTATCTATCTATCTATCTAGCAGCTTACGACTTTTAGCTCTGCTGGCCGTTTCGATAAACGGATCTATAAGAAAACTGGTATGGCATAACATGAATGTAAGACAACTATAAATGATCTCGTCCTAACATGAAAATCATGACGTGTATGTCATAATTGTCATGATTTACATGTCCTGGTCTTGCTAATCTAGTGAAGGTTGTGTTCACATGACATATTGCAAAGCTGGTATGGTATGAGATAACTGCATGGCAAACATTAGTGACGGATCCTAACGTGAAATTCATGACATACATGACATGTAGTCATGACTACACGCTACGCTCATGATGCGCTGCAGCCTCTTCGCTAGCTTCAGATATACCAAATTTGGTAACGTGTGACGTGAATGCATGACAAAGGTAGATGACTTGTTTCAACATGATAATACTGACATGCGTGTCATGTAGGAACATGAGTACATGCTACGCTCATAGAGCGCTCGCGGCCGTTTCGCTGGCTTCACATATACCTAATTCGGTAATACGTAACGTGAATGGACGATGAAGGTGAATAACATGTCCAAACATGACAATCATCACATGCGTGCCATGAAACATGACTACGCGCTACACTCATAGTGCGCTCGTGGCCGTTTTGATAGGTTCACATATACCGAATTCGAGAATACGTGACGTGAATGGATGAGAAACACAAATGCCAGGCGCAAACAAAACAATAATGAGATGGAAGTCAAGTACGGCTTTATTTGCATACCTACCACTGCTTGAGATGGTATTGCAAACGTCAGTGGTTCAATCGTAACGCGACTATAAAAAAGTTTGCAACTTATCGAGATACCCGATTGCGGACAACATTTTTACTTGTGTTTACTAGTACTACAACCAAGCGCGTCATAATGTTGTGGTGATTCTTCATTCGTGCTTCGCATATCATCTATTTACACCGTACATAAGATATTCTATCTTTATGTCATATTTTCTTTTTCTGCACGACTTTCTCTGCCATTCATTTATCTCTCTTTCGCCCTTTTCCGCATTTCCCGCTTTTCACTTTTGGCTACACTTTGCTCTCGTTTATTTTAATTCCTCATTCTCATCATAACATCTCGCTTCCTCGCACTCACTTGTTTCCTATCTCACTTTTACACGGTTCTATACTACACTATACAAGGTTATGATACTATGCGAAGCTCTAATATGGTGTACTATACTTGGATATGCTACGATCCACTTGTGTTTCTTAATAGGAAAGGGGTTAGTACGCGCTTCGTCGGAGCGAGCTCCCGCATGTTCGAATACCTCCTGGTGAAGACTTTTTTCCGCCAATGAATTCACGTTTTACTTTTATTTATATCGTTGTTTCTGCACTTCCACTTCTTCTGATGTTCTCAATGTATTCCTTGTCTAAAGTATCAGGAATTGTATTTACCAAGCTGGAGCAGTGCGTAATGGGATTTGTACAAGTTCTGTGGCACATACTCCTCTATGATGATGATTGTTCTTTGCACCGCAGGAACGTATTTTCGCAATGAATAGCATCTTTGAGGTTAAAACTGTAGCAGCTCTTTGTAAAAAACGCAAGTGCCTTCGTGTCCTTTTTCAATACTTTATTTCTTGCTTTTGTGGCTCATGTTGTGTTCTTGTACTTATGCAGGGGACACACAATTAGACTCAAGAATTCCATGAAGTCTACTATAGCAACCGAAAATACCACAAGTAAGAAATTCTGCAAATAAGACATATTTCGGCGATACAACTACAATTTACTGACAGTAATGAATCAGGTATCAAACTTTTTGGCACTTGTAATGTTTGGGCTCAATGTTTAGCTGCCTAGAATTGTTTTTTTTTCTATTGTAAGAGACCTAAAGTGGTCACGCCAAGTGGTATTGTAATAAGTGAAGTGATATAACACTAGGCGACAGCGTGAAGGTGCGTGTCAACCAAGGTTGGCAGAGGTGATTTTTCTTACTGCGTAAACTAGCAATGTAACCAAAATTTCTAGTTTGGACGACTTCTTTAATGCAGTCGAAGACTAATAATACGTTCACATCACGACCATCAAAAATTACTGGTAAGCATGGCTTCCTTGCGTCAGGCGCGGTGCTGTATATCTAGGTACGTTTTTATTTCAGCGCTGCTTTGTACCTTTTCATTATTAACGGAAACTGAACAACTCCTTGCAAGCTACTGGGATCATTGGATCATTGGAACGCTGTGTCCTTTTTTCGGGGTAAAAACAAAAGACCACTCATGGTATCAGTTATACTAACAAAGACAGCCGATACGATATGCTGCTTGCATACCTTTGCCAAGGTGACTCTGGGCAGCACACTGTCATGAAGGAAAGTTGTGGACTACCTCTCATACGTACATTACAGGGACTTCTGGCCCTCATGTTAGTTGTCTGTATGTGCTGGGGCAATCACTCAAGTATTGGCTCGTATTGCATAACACCCTAGTAAATGACAGAGTTGTTCACCAACTATGACTTATGTGTCTGTTCGAGCTTCTACATGAATCGAGCTTATACAGGCGAAAAGTCTCCACTTGTCTTTGGGAGTTCCTAAGGTTGTATCAAGCTGAAAAGCCATACACGAAATCCAGTCCTCACCACTACATCTTCTGGCATCTAAAGCCCTACTGACCCAAATTTCATGACTTCCTGCGTCCATCAGAGGAAGAGCACACATTAAAAGACTTCGAACCAGGTACTGATGCCATCTCCCTGCTGCGGTAAATACTGTAAATGTTCTTGGTGTCACAAACCAATAAACAGGTAACAATGTGACCTACCTTGAATGCCCAAAGACGTTATTTGCGCCCTCAGCATACATGGACTGCAATCCAAGCCAATTACACCTTCTGCTGAAGAGCACCTCCTGGTTCTAGAGCATTTGGAGATGAAGTATTCCAACAATTTTCGCGTATTCATGGATAACTCCGTCAGTACTGACAATAAAAGCTGTGTTGTGGCATAATCGATCCCATCTTTGGAGCTACATGGTATGGCCGGTTGCACCACGTAGTTTCTTCTGTGGTTGCGGAGAACGCAGCTGTCGCTGGAGCTCTTCGCCAACTGAAGAACGAACCTACTCAAGAAACTGTAATTCTATCGAACTGCAAGTCGGCAATGCAACGACCAGCTCTAGGGACTCCCAGGAGTGAATTGTGCTGCCAGTCGCTAGCCTCACTAAAGTACGCAGCCATAAAAGGCATCATTATAACTTTTCAGTGGAGATTTTCACATGCTATTGTCAGCGGCAATGAAAGTACAGATGCCTTAGCCAACGAAGCACTTTCAAGACAACCGACAATAGCAGCACCTATAAACCAGCAACTACCAAAATACTCCATTGGATGCCATTTTCACTCTTTGTGGAATACGCACAATTAGCCCTGGGTAATAAAAGGGCTTAGTCGGGCCGAGTCAGCCTTGAGCTTCAGAATAAAAACGCGATTAGTGTATGCTCCTAAATTGTCCGGGCCGCTCCTTCCCAGTTTTACAGTGAAGTTGCGGACTCACAGCTACGCGTATGGTCATGAAAGTATTTGTGGTCTGAAAGGAAGACATGACTGGGCAGAACGAAGAAATAGAGGTTTCGTCATGGGTGCTGCAAACACTGTGTTTCCGGTAGGTGTGCGGTTGATGTGAAAAGAAGCGGCTAAAATGTTTTTATGTTTTCTACGAGAGACAGAATTTAGCATTACTTGGTTAGCCCCGCCGCAGTGGTCTAGTGGCTAGTGTACTCTGCTGCTGACACGCAGGTCGCGGGATTGAATCCGGGCTGTAGCGGCTGCATTTTTTATGGAATATAAAATGCTGTAGGTCCGTGTGCTCAGAATTCGGGCGCTTGTTAAAGACCACAGGTGGTCAAAATCATTGATTATGGCGTCTCTCATATTCATATGGTCGTGTTTGGTCGTTAAACCTCCCCCCCCATTCAATCAAGCATTGCTTCGTGAGTTGAAGTACATGGGATGAATCTCTCAGAGAGAGAAACTGCCAGCCAAGTCTACAAGCCTAGCCCTGCCTGCGGCAACATCACCAGCACTACCACCACTGCCATAGCAAGATAGATTGAGGAGGGCCCAACAGCACAGCTCGTAGGCGCAACCTTTATCTGCCGTCCCACATTGACTCTGCGAGCTTGGTCTTACTAGAACCCTGTCTCCTTTGGCGCACTGAGTGAATGAGACCAACTGGGTTACCGAGGAAAGTATGACACAAAAGAAAATGCTATACGTTAGAAAACACAAAAAGAAACATGGTCTTGCAAAGAAGACCGTTTGATTGGCATATTCGAAGAATGTTGTAGGTTTGTGAACGTCTTCGCTTCGGTACATGCTTAAAGCGGTAATATGAAAGTCGAAATCGGAAATATAACCGTAACTTGACAACGTGGTATGCATAACTATTATTGTTTGTTAAGCTGGTATTGCGTCAGTAACGTAAAAAATTATTTTTGAGGACTAGTAGCAGACTATGGCTCAGCGGGAAGTTCAGCAGCCTGTGACATCAATTATAGTAGTGTGACGCGTTCAGCGGACCCACAAGTGCTGCACGATGATGTGCTAGTAAAGGTCTGATCATGCACAACTGACAATTAGATTTATTGATATGTGGGGTTGAACATCCCAAAACCACCATATGATTGTGAGAGATGCCATAGTGGAGGTCTCCGGAAATTTAGACCACCTGAGGTACTTTAACGTGCACCCAAATCTGAGCTCATGGGCCTACAACTTTGCCGCCTCTATCAGAAATTCAGCCGCCGCAGCCGGGATTTGATCCCACGACCTGCGTGTCAGAAGCCGAGTATCTTAGCCACTAGACCATCGCTGCGGGGCTCACGCACACCTGTTGCAGTACGGCAATGAATCTTTGGCGTGGTGGCACGCCCTCTTTCTAAGAGAGTGGGCACGCCGCTTCGCTCTCTCTCTTCCTCTATAGAAAAAGAGCTCGTGGCGGCGCGTCGAAACAGGTACCCACACTCTTCTCCATATCCTCTCTTAAGTGGCCAACCCTGCTCCCCCAAGGGCTCATACGTTATCTATATCCTCTCCCAAACGGCCACCATGCAGGCTGATAACATGTCACGCTAATGTCATGACACGTTGATAGCACCCGTGATTTCGTGGCCTTTCTCGACTGGTGGCGCGTGAGGCGGGAGAGAAGGTTGCGGGGCGTGGCGGCTTGGTTAAAAAATAGATGGTACTTTCGCAAAGATACATAGGAACCTTACCTAAGAAAGCCCCGTGCTGACGAGCTGCGGTAGGTACACGTGGTTAGACCTTGACAATCATAAAGTTCCAATAAATTCGATACAGGCAACTCTGGCGCTAGTGTCTATGGGAGCTACACCTTACAGCACTTCATTCAGCATGAAAATGAGGGAGAATACGCGTGTTTGTGTAAGCTTGGTTCTTTTGGTTCCATGTGGCTCCGTGCTGCCTGCCTCCACTTCGTCACAATGGGTTCAGCAATATGTGAGCAGTTCGACTGCACCACATTGAGGAATTCCTCAATTATCATTTCTTTTCTCCTAAACAAAATTCAAGCTGCTACAAGAAAGCCACGATTGCGTTCAAAGCTGGAAACACAGACTAGGCAATCTGTGTACTATATCACAATTTCCATGGTGGCTGCACCACAACAGCGTCGGAGTTCTCTCTAGTAAATTTTCTTGGAAAGTTTGTGGTAACAATACCATCGGCCATCTGGGCATTATCAATCGTGGTGTCGACTGGTGGCGTTGCCTGTCTGCAGTCTCTTGGTTGGTTTGTCTCAACTCAGGCGTCTTCGCCATGCCGCTTCGAATGGTTCGTCATGTGCTCATCAGCTTGTGGAAGCTCGAAGCGCGGACTTCAACTGAATTGCGTAACAAAATGTCGTAAAAGAGTTGTGCGCTGATTACTCCAGTGACGTTTTTAATTAGTACAATAAAGAACGTCTTAATTGTGAGCAGCTCTTAAGTTGTTTATAGAGTTTCTGGGTTGCGCTAAACATATACATGTCTAGCCCAAGTCTCTCTGCCAAACATACAACGTTTTCCTTACAGCATATGCAACCTCGCGTAAAAGTAGAAAAGATGATACGTACAGAGAGGAAAGAGCGCTGGCTTCCAGCTGTTTTATTTCACTGATAATTGCAGATTGCTTTTTTCTTTGGCTTTATTTATTTATCCACTGGCTCTGCGCATTGTTGCGTTTGGAGGGCCACCGTTTTGCCGCGGTCACCAAAACAGAAGAAAGGCAGATGCCTCATTTTGTGGAGATAAGGAGCAGTGCCAAAACGCCCGGCTGTTTCCTTGTACTGGGCGCTGCGCGGCTGGGCGCTGCGTGGCTGAAATACCTCTACGGAGCACCGCTGTCCTTTGGGTCCGTGCAGAGATGCGACACGTGGCGTATTCGTGCCGTGGTAAAAGCCAAAATGACGAGATTCTACCTATTATGGACATCGGGCCACCCCGCTGTGCGCCTCTGACTGGTGAGCCACCGACGCTCAAATCATTAACAGATGTCCAAGTATGGCCCCTCGGTGGCGCCTAGACCGCAATCACCGTTTGACGAAGCTTAGGTGGTCGGCGTGTGCGGCGAGATGACAAGCACGTTTCACGCTGCTCGCTGGAAGCAAGATTCGCCGAAGGAGGCAGCATCGCCGGGAGCTTACACATGTTTGATTTGTGTATCTGCGTTTGTTGTGGCTGTTCCAGCATAATGACACTCGTGTGTGCTGCGGGGCATGTTATTGGACAATGCTGTATGGACCCATTTTACGATCTAGGGATCTGGGAAGATGAGACTTTACTTATTCAGCCCTTGCAGGCTGCTTGCAATCAGCCCTTGCAGGACTGGTCAATCAGTACAGGTGGCACACGAGAAGTGCCAGGAACAAATGAGTGCGGTGCCAATTGGAGCCGCAAGAAAAGCTGGGAACTATGAGGTTAACAGTAGATTAACAAATAAACCGAGTGCGGTGCAAATTGGAACCGCAGGAGAAGCTAGAAACTACGAAAGTGGCAATAGGTTCACGTATGAACCAAGGTTGACAGCTGAGATAAGAGGAGAGGCTGACGAAGGCCATAGTAAATGTGGTGAAGTGCTGTGTCAGGGAATTCTAGTAAAACAGCTAAGGTAGTTGTACACAGCCTGGCACAGACAGAAATTGAGGGTGTCCCGATGTGGAATCTTGCCCACGGAGTCCAAAGAAATGTAAACCCGCTAGGCAAGAACACCAGCGTCGGGCGAGCAGAGTGTACGGAAGTAGCGCTGGGTAGAGTAGTTGTGGACAGCTCCCAGGTAGGTGAGCCTGGTTCACGTGAGAGTATCGCAACAGTAGGTCCTGCATGCGGTGTTCAAGAGAATTTTGACGCGTTTGTCATTGACACCAGGGCGAATTCAAGAGATGAAGTTATGATAGAGATGGGTGAGGACAATGCAGTTATGGGTAGCTTCCTTGAATGTGAGCTAGCGTCGTCATAAAAAGACAGCTTCAGTGTTATGAGACGCGTTAGGCTGTCCGGCAGTCTGGAGAGTGATGGAGAAGATAATTTGTGCGCAAATTATTTAGACGCCAAATACAAGATAGATAATGAATCCAGGGAGAGCACTGGAGAGCGAGAGGTACGAGTGGCAGGCTGAGAAAGGCCCCTTAAAAAGAAGTGTCCACGGAAGTAGCGTTGTAAACCGAAAAGTGCTTTAATGAGCACAGCCCACTTGAAGAAAGGTAGTAAACGTTCAGAGGCAGTTACCTGAATTAGGCGTTTGTCATCGGCGCCGGAGTTACTTCACCTGTGTCCGAACTGCCAGATGAAAACAAAAAGCGCGATGGGCGATCATGCAAACACAAGAAAAGGGCATAGTAAGCAGAATGAGGTCTTTGCCTTCCGCGACGAAGTTGGTTTGCATGCGTCCGAGCTGCCGAATGAAGAGAAAAAGAAGGATGCGTTGGCCAAAATGCAGGAAGAAGAAAAGGGGCCGTCACCGTTCTGTAGTTATATTCATGGCACGTTTGATGGGACAGGGCAGTGCAAGATCGCTGGCTGGCAAGAAGTAGCCGAGCGAGGGGAGCAATGCAGGTCACCAGCGAGTAGCTTAGCGGGGCTCGGTGGTGAAACAAATTGGTTTTTCAGTTGTTTTCTTTCCCGTTCACCAAGAAAGGCACACAAGGCTCGACCGCCACACGTTCGTCTCAAAAGAGAGTGACAGCAGTAAGCGTTCGGAAAAGCTTGTTAGAAGATTTGTTTATTTTTATGTCCTAAACTTTTGTTTTGACTCTTCTTTTAGTTTTTATTTTGCAACAGTTTAAGTATATTGGCTACTGAACAGTGTTTAGGTAACTGATTTTACATTTTGTTCATTTCTAAAGCTTTGTATGTTTCGGTTTAAAAGGCTACGCGCTGCGCTGTTGCATAACGACACGCCTAGGAGCGTTTGTCGAGTAAGAGTTACTTTCGAACGGAGTTTAAGCAAGCGGGGAGATGTTTTAGAAGAGTGGTAACCGCAAGCGAAAGTTAATTAGATGTTCATCCACACAGTAGCGCTATAGCGTGCGTTTGCGGACGTGCAATGTGGATGATCCTGATGCTTGTGCAGCATGACAGCTTTCTCTTTGTCAGCTCAAACGCAACTGACGACTAGCTTTGGCAGGCACAAAGTTTTGAGGACTAAAAGATAACGTGACGCAAAATGCATTATTTTATGAGTAAGAGGCTTGGTAGTTTACAGCAGATAACAAACGCTGGCACACAAGTATGTCACGGAGAGCGCATCAATTGGGAGTTTTTTTCCTTGAAGGCAATTTGATAAGATGATTCTTTTCGAATAGCAATTGGGAGCTTGGCGAAAACTCAGAGAAACGATTTGATTGCTGCTTTGCGCTTTAGTTTTACTGTTTAAGAAATGTTCTTTTCGCAACATTTTTTAGACTTCATGTGTCTCAATGTGGGCAGGGTGCTCTCCCGTGCCTATGGTTGTTTGCATTTCTGTGAAATCTCTGGGCAGAAAGGCCCACGAATGATTGAAGATTGCCGTATTGCGTCATCGGCAGTGGCATGAATGTTGCCACCAAACAACGGCGCTTCGGGCAACCTGTATGGCTGGTCAGCCTCAGGTCACGAGTTTCCCGCCGGTAGACGAGCTGTTGCGTTTGGCGGGCAACCCAATGATGAGCCGCCGACGCTCAAATCAGTACCCGATGTCCAGGTATGGCGCCTCGGAGGCGCCTAGACATCGATCGCCGTTTGACAAAGCTAGGGTGGTTGACGCAAGTGGCAAGATGACAAACACGTTTCACCCAATTCGCTGGAAGCAAGATTATCAAGAGGAGGCAGCATTGCCGGGACCATACACGTCTTCGGTTTATATATGTGTCTACGTTGGGGGTGGTGCCGGGTAATGACACTCGTGTGTGCTGCGGGACATGTTATTAGAGAGTGCCGTATGGACTTATTCCCTGATGTAGAGATCTGGTGAGATGAGACTGTATTTATTCAGCCCTGCCGGGCTGCTTAGTGTGCATGTGTGTTTGTTGGGGGCAGTGCTGGCATAATTACACTCGTGTGTGCTGCGGCACATGTTATTGAAGAGTTCCGGATGGACATAATCCCCGATCTAGGGATCTGGGGATATGACACTGTCTTTATTCAGCCCTGGCCGGCTGCTTTGTGTTGCTCACGGAGCTTGTTCAATCGACTGCCTTTTTCAATATAGAGCTTTCAATGTATACCTTCGGGCGAGAGAGCCCATGCCATGTAAATAATGTAAATATACCCTCTCTGCGAAGTTCAACCTCCTCCTGCTTCGACATCTTGATCCCGAATCTCCGGTGCCGCAAACCCCGGTCACTACAGCATGTATTTACACTTGTTATCGGCGGTGGAATGAAAACATTGGAAATCAGTGCTCTTACTCTCTGTGCCTAACGTGTTTTCTAGTTTTAGGCACTTTCAGATTTGGGTGCACGTTAAAGTACCCCAGGTGGTCAAAATTCTGGAGCCCTCCACTACGGCGTCTCTCATACTAATATGGTGGTTTTGGGACGTGAAACCCCACAAATCAATCAATCAGTTTTAGGCACTGCTACACATGTTTAAATGAGCCAAGTAGCCCAGCAAGCTACCATCCTGGTTTGCCGTATGTACCGACAGACTGTGCTGCTCTTCAGAGATTGGTATTAACGTGGGCGACGCGAGGCAGCACGGAAATCTGGGTGATGACGAGACGCGTGGAGCGTCAAAAGCTTGTGTATGCTTGTCTGAGCGGGGTCGGGTGGTGAAGAAGGCGTTCTTATTGCGATTTACCGCCATTCAGCGCCAGTTTATTCAGTTAGTAGGCGAGCGGCATGAGGCGCTTTGAAACATGCGCGTCGTAATGAATGATGCTAGCATAAATGTGACTGTAGGCTTGGGCATTTTTTGCGCTTCCATTTCAGAGTAATCAGACAGTGAGCTGTCAAAGCGTTAAAGTCGCAAACAATTTTTTTCACTTCTCGTTAAGAATTTTATGGCAGGCGAGTTGAATTAGAACCACATTTGAATTTCTTCACGTCCCAGCTTCTCTGTTTGCAAAGCACAAATTGCTTGAAAATTGACCTTAAACATTCTTGTTAAAAGAACTTCCCAAACGCTAAAAAGAAAACAATGCCATACCTATGCCGTCTGACGCTTACGAAAACAATACATGGATTCTTACCTTTCTTACGCACGCTGGTGAGCCAATGTAGCTCAACAGCTCGTTATAGATCTTATTAGCGTTAGCGTTTAGTGAACTACAGTGGAGGTGTCACACTCTATATATTATAAAATATTCAAATAGGAACCTACCAAAGTAGGCTAAAAGGAAGGGCACGTGCTGTTTGCTGTTACCCAGTATAGCACGTAAAGCAGTGGCATCCGATATAACATGCGAAATTGAGAATGTGGATCTCTCCTTTTAGCCATTATTGTTAACTCTTATCATTAGGCGACTGTAAGCGCTCGGTAAGTGTTTTCACAACACAAAACGGTACCGAACATCTGGAAAGTATGGTCAGGCTCGTAAATGATTTTCAATGCCTTATGTGCTTTAACTTGATACTCGTTTTTTTTTGGTCTTCGCAGCGTGTACATATGAAGGTTGCAAGAGACTTTGCCAAGCACAGTTGGGCAACGATTACGTGGACGTGACAGGCCACTGCGAGTATGCGGCTTGCAAGTGCTTCTTCAAAGAACGTGAGCAACCAATCCATTCACTTTCTCATATATTTTTTGATGCGACGAGCTCTACGCATATTTTGTTGTGGGCATCAGTGTAGTTGGCCCCGTTATCATGATCGTGTGCAAGAAGCCAGTTTTGTCACTAGAACAAAGTATTGATGACGTTAACGAATGTTAAGCAAAGTATTGCTCTCAGATTTAGTAGTATTATCACTTGTACAAAGCATCAGATGGTGAATGAAGCAGTTGTGGTGCAGTGTGACCAGACCCACATCGAAAGAGAGGGGTAGAAACACTTAGCGACTACAACAAACTGTGTGTGGAATAGTGGTGCTGATGAGAAGTGGCTCTCGTGCATACAGCATCTCAGATCGTAAAGCATAGCATGATTGCCACAAGACGTATTGCACGCACCATCTCATTGTACTGGTGCTCCGAAAAAAGGGGTGGCGCTATAAGGAACAGAAGCACAAGTTTGCTGAGAGATGACAACGCCACGCCTAGCCCTGGCATCGAGCTCCAGAACACTTAAGGAGAGACGCGGGAAAGGTCATAGCCGAGTGAGTGTGTTTCGCCGAAGCGGGAGCACGTGCGACACGCGCGCAACGCGTTCTGCAGTTGCTGCGGGGAACTTAGGTGGCCTGCCGTCAGCTTGGCGCGCTAAAACGAGACGCTGGCTGTGCGAAGTTGCCGTTCCCCGATGGAAGAAGCGGCCCCACGAAAGCGTTAGGGAAGCCCAATGTATTGTGTTGTTGCCTGCCACAACAATGCAGAAAACACCAAGGGCCAGTCTCCACGTGTAAAGCTGTATCAGTTTACCATCTAGTCATAGCCGGTGAACACAACTACGTTCGCAAAAGACAGAGCAAGCATGACACGAGAGCCGGGAAAAAAAAGGAGAGCACTTCAACTTGATTGATATGGGGGGTTTAACGTCCCCAAACCATGATATGATGATGAGAGACGCCGTAGCGGAAGGCTCCGAAAATATCGACCACCTGGGGTTCTTTAACGTGCACACAAATCTGAGCACACTGGCCTACAACACTTCTGCCTCCATTAGAAATTCAGCCGCCGCAGCCGAGGTTTGATCCCGCGACCTGCAGGTCAGCAGCTGAGTACCTAAGGCACTAGACCACCGCCGCGGAATCAACACTTCAACTTGACTGGCTGTGGTTAAACTTAGCTTGGTGCTTCGCGGCGACGTCAGCGAGTGATGTGCGGCAAACAGGACATGACTGAAACTTCACGGACAGTTAACGCCATTACCGTACAACTTTAGTTTTTATTTGTTTTTTCAGCACGCCGCCAACGTTTAAACATGACAGTACACGGCTGCTATTTCTATATAGCACATCAAAACAAAAATTATATGGTTTTCATAAACGACAACACAGCATATCTATAGAGTACGCGGCTTCATGTCGGCAGAATGAAACTTACCTCGAGGCATACGTCGTACACGGTATTATCAGGGAGGACCCAAGAAATGCAATTTGCAGTGACTCGGGCGTCCTCCTCTTCTGTCATCTGCTTCACATCATAAACTTGACCGACGAGCTTTACTCCTTTTGTTGAATTCGTTTCTAGAAAGTGCTTATCCCGCTCAGAGATTTTTGTGAGGCCTCACTGCAGGCGGTACATTGTGAAGTGACTCAATTGCAGCGCGCGCTCTCTGCACGAGCACGATGGATGGATGGATGGATGGATGGATGGATGGATGAATATGGCTGTACCCTTTAGATCGGGCGGTGGCTAGCGACACCAAGCCGTAATACTTAATGAACCAAAAACTAGGTTTTTTTTCCTTTAAATAGTTAGGCTGAGGATTCGTACTTTGTAGTGAAGGGTTTAATATTCACTCGTGCCTTAACTTTAGCCACCCATCAGATAATCTCCTCTAGTTAGTTCTACCCGCTTAAAGTTTATTTTGCCCTCGTTGTCCCTAAACTTTGAAAAACTTTGCGCCACATCCTGAACTATAGGGTGAAGCCCTTTACAGAACATTATCAAGTGTGCGGCAGTTTCTTCTTCCTCTCCACACCCACTGCATACCGTGTCTACCCCTTAGCACGTAAGCGAGCGGCTGCGCATTGAAGCGAAGGAAAAACCGCGATCTACATCCCCAATTTCTACTTTTCTACCAAAGATGGCGCTACCTGCCTGGAGTTGCACTGCCACCATGCGTTGCTTTGGCTTCCTATAAGATGAACATCAGTGTGCTCAATTCACTGCAACGTTGTTTGCGCTCTAGTGAGCAGCATGCTGGCTATCGTAATAGAAAGAAATTGTCATTCAGCCTAAGAACTTCGATCTGTGGGCAACACGAAATTGAGAGTCAAGTTTATTGAGGCACATCAACACATTGGGCCGCATGAATACCTGCCAATTTGCGGCAAAACAGTGTTTTCGAGACGCGCACTTTATCAAAAGCTCAAACTTATTTGTGGTGAAACCACGTGTTTTGGCTCACAGTAAAGCAACTTCTATATTTTTGTAAACACCAAATATCTTCTTCTCGGAATCCTGATGACAACAACTTGATAATCAATCATGGTAAAAAATGAAAAGAAAAAAACTGATGTCAGTGAATGCCACAATACCCGATAATAAAATGGGATGCCTGCAAGCACAGGCGTGATATTGATTTGACCGTGGAATCTTTAAAATTGCTGTACTGAAAAACTCAGTGTGCTTAGGCAACGAATTACTTGCTCTGGCCTAAGAATTAAGAAACACGTGGAAGCGTCTAATCAAGCCACAGTTTGGACTCACAGCTAAACGAAAAAAAACATTGATTTAGTATGCACAAAGCTTCAGGACAAGAGCCTGAGCCTCACCTACACTGCAAACAAAAATAAGCCGAGTTGGGAGTAAATTACTTGTCCTCTACATCGTCCGGGCGGAGTAAAAATTTACTCCCCATCTGTAAGGGTTTTGCATGGTGCCAGGTGGGGCTTTTACTTACATGGGGGAACATTTTCAGGTCAGAATGGCAGTAAATTTCTACATCAACCGAGAAAAAAATTACATCAGCAGCCGTGCAATGCGCATGCACAATTTTAATTGCATTAGCCTCGAAGGACACAACAATGATTACAGTACACAAACATCCACATAACTTTCACGTAATATTGCTGCACTCACCCCAGCTTACCACCCGCCTTGCACACTTAGGGTTCTGTCACCGTGTATATATAGGCACCATATTCGGACTTCCCATGTAGCTCTCACGGGACGCTTTTTTGCTATAATCAAGTGATAAGCACGCACGGCGTAGGTATGAAGTGAAGATGGCCTAATGCAAACATGGCCTAATGGAAGATGGTCTAATGCAAGAGTGGAAGGGGGGCACCCGAGGGGAGTCCACCTTATATTCTTTTTTTATCTTTTTATCTTTTTTTCTTTCTTCTTTTTTCTTTTCTTTTTTTCTTTTTTTCTTTTCTTTTTCTTCTTTCCTTTCCCTCTGATTTGAGATTGTATAAAGCTGAGCACAGCACCAACAAACTGTACCTTTAATCCTGATGAAGGCAAGACTCTAGGCCGAAACGTCAAAATAAACCACGTTGTGACCGCTCACGGAGGATCTACTGGACTATATGCAACGCTACGGCCACTCAATCACCATGCCTGCCTATATATATATATATATATATATATATATATATATTATGAAGTCTTGGTTTGGAAGACCTTTATTAGGCCCGAGGAACCGGCAGCCGACAGCGGAGATGCACGAACCAAGATGATGATGATACGTGACAACGATGAGGATGCATAAGCAATACACGATAATGATGATAATGTACAGATGAAGAGGATTGGTATACTAAATGCCCACACTGATTCCCCCCACGTGAGAGCGGCCAGCCTGGCCGCGGCAAGTCAAGGGGACAAAGAACGTCGCATGAAGGGCTTCATACGGGAGACATGGACGACTTCAGTAGTTCGATAACGGCGATCTGCTGGGGCTACAAGTGGCGTCACGCGATAATTTACTGGTGAAGTTTCTTCAAGAACTGTGTACGGCCCGATAAATCGTGGCTGGAACTTGTCGCACAAACCAGGTGTGCGAATAGGCGTCAAAAGGAGCACTTCGTCTCCAGGTTGAAAGGATACAGCACGATGCGATTCATCATAAACCAGCTTTCTGTCTTGCTGTCGGGCTTCAGTGTTTATACGAGCACGTTGGCGGCTCTCTGCGAGCCGCAAAACGTATTCCTCTGAAGAGGATGGAGATGAATCCGCATGGCAGGTAAAGAAGGAGACGTCCAGCAAAGAAGTAGGGGAGCGTCCATATATTAGGTAAAATGGTGAGTAGCCGGTTGTCCGCTGAATAGCCGTATTGTAGGTGAAAGTGACAAATGGTAGAACTACATCCCAGTTCTTGTGGTCTGGTTGAATGTAGGCGGCGATCATGTCAGCAAGAGTGCGGTGGAATCGCTCAGTGAGGCCGTTAGTTTGGGGATGATAACTAGAGGCAGTCTTGTGAGTTGTGCCGGAGGCGCGAAGAAGTTCGTTCACTAGTTGTGAAAGGAAGGCCCTTCCACGGTCGCTGAGCAATACACGTGGAGCACCATGACGCAGTATAATGGCTCGGAGGATGAAGTCGGCAATTTCAGAAGCTGAACCGGTAGTGACAGATGCCGTCTCGGCGTAGCGTGTCAAATGGTCAACGGCTGTTACTATCCATCGGTTTCCAGCAGCACTGACTGGAAGGGGGCCATAAAGATCGATGCCTACAACTTCGAATGGTGTGGCTGGGCATGGAAGAGGCTGTAGTGTACCGGCTGGAGCAGATGTGGGTAGTTTTCTACATTGGCAGGTAGTGCAGGACCCAACGTACCGAGCTACACTAGTGGTAATACCTGGCCAATAAAACCGACTTCGAAGGCGATCATAGGTTTTGTGGTAACCAAGGTGACCAGCCGTCGGATGGTCATGAAGTGCTCTGAGGACTTCAGACCGAAGCGATCGGGGTAGAACGGGAACCCAGCGCTGACCGTCAGGATGGT